TATAAGGGATATCATAAAAAATAGAATTCGCGACATCAAATCTTTTAATTTTTCGAAAAGTCTGGATTTGATTACTTTCGATTTTCAACTTTTTTTTTTCAGCTGTTCTTAACTTCCAAATTTTTCAATTTTTCGTTTCCTCAGTTTTTCAAGATCTTGATTTTTTTTTCATTTTCCCGATTTTTTAATTTTCATTCTTTCGATTTTATATCGCAATTTTTCGTTTTCTCACTTCCTTTATTTTTTCAATGTCTCTTCGATTGTTAATTTTTCAGGTACTCAATTTTTCAAAATTTGAATCTTTGATTCTTCAGTTTTCAATTTTTCAATTATCCGATTTTCGGATTTCTTTAATTTTCAGTATTTCGATTTTACAATACACATTTCGATTTTTCGAATTTTCGTTTCTTCAAATTTTCAAGTTCTCGAATTCCAACCATCAGATTTTTCAAAATTTTCATTTTATACTTTTTCGTTTTTCCGTTTTTGATTTTTTAATTTTACAATCTCAATTTTTCCATTTTTTCTTTATTCAAAAAGATGGCAAATCGAAAGAAATTGAAAAATCGAATAAGCGGAAAATCGAAAAATTGCAAATCGAAGTTGCAGGAACGAAAAATCGGAACATTGAAGAACTAAAAATCGAGAAACTTAGAAATGGAAATAATTAAAAAATGACGAAAACTTATAAAAAAGAACAAGAGAATCGAATCGGGAAATTGGAAAATTTAAAATTGAGAAAACGAAAAATTACTAATCTGAAAGTAAAAAAATTGAAAACCGAAAAATTGCAAATCGATAAACTGAAAAATCCAAAAATTGAAAAATTAAATATTCAAAAGTTAAAAATTCGGAAAATTGAAAAACTTAAAAATGAAAACTCGAAGAGATGTATATCGCAAAATTGAAGAAACGAAAAAAATGAAAAATTGATAAAACCAAAACGAAAAATTATAAAAATAAAGAAAATAAAAAACCGAAATGGAAAAACGCAAATCGAAAAAGTGAAGAAAGGGAAAATTGATAACATTGAAATTGAAAAAAAAATTATAAAAACCGAACATTGAAAAATCGAAAAATTGTAAATCAAAAAGACATGAAAAATTGAAATAATTTAAAATGGAAAAATAAAAAATTATAAATTCGGAACATTGAAAATGGAAAATCCAAAAATTAAAAAAATTATAAAATCGAAACATCGAAAAATCGATAAATTGTAAAAATAAAGAAAATAAAAAACTGAAACGAAAAATTACAAATCGAAACACTGAAGAAATGAAATATTGGAAAATTAAAAATTGAAAAAAAAAAAATAAAAATTGAAAAATCCAAATCCAAGAATTGAAGAAATGGAAAATTGCTAAACTTGAAATTGAAACAAAAATTTTAAAAACCGATCATTGAAACATCTAAAATTTGTAAATCAACAATTTTATTAAAGCAACGAAAAATTGAAAAATCATGAAACTGAAAAATTTTAAATTGAAAAAACAGAAAATTGAAAATCAAAAAACTGAAAAAAAATAAAAAGGAAAAATTAAAAATTATAACATGCGAACTTTGAAAAATCTAAAAATTGTAAAAATAAAAAAAATTAAAAACCGAAACGAAAAATTGCAAACTTAAAATTTAAAGAAACGAAAAATTAAAAAATCATGAAACTGAATAAAATAAAAAAGGAAAAATTTTAAATTCTCAAGCTGGAAAATCAAAAAAATGAAAACCGAAAAATTGCACATCGAAAAATTGAAACATTAAAAATTGAAAAATTATAAAATTAGAACATTGAAATTGCGAAAAATTGAAAAAACCACTGATTGAAAAAATGCAAATTGAATAAATGAAGAAACGGAAAATTGATAAAAAAATTGATAAAATTGAAATTAAAAAAAAAAAATTATAAAAACCGAACATTGAAAAATCGAAATATTGTAAATCAAAAAACTGAAGACATGAAAAGTTGAAAAAATTTAAAACGGAAAAATAAAAAATTATAAAATCTGAACATTGAAAAATCGAAAAATTGTAAAAATAAAAAAAAATTAAAAACCGTAACGAAAAATTGCAAACTTAAAATTTAAAGAAACGAAAAATGGAAAAATCATGAAACTGAACAAAATAAAAAAAGAAAAATTTAAAAATCTTCAAGCTGGAAAATCAAAAAATTGAAAACCGAAAAATTGAAATTGCAAAAAATTGAAAAAATAAAGGAAATAAAAAACCGAAACGAAAAATTACAAATCGAAAAACTGAAGAAATGAAAAATTGTAAATTCTAAAAATTAAAAAAAAATCAAAAACATGCATATTGAAGAAATGTAAAAGCGGAGAATTGATGAAATTGAAATAAAAAAAAATTAAATACCGAAAAATTATAAATCAACAATTAAAGCAACGAAAAATTTTAAAATGAAAAAACGGAAAAATAAAGAATCTAAAAGTTGAGAAATCAAAAAATTGAAAATCAAAAAAATTGAAGACACGGAAAATTGAAAAAATTTATAATGAAAAACTAAAAAATATATATAAACTCGGAACATTGAAAAATCGAAAAATTGTAAAATTAAACAAAACGAAAAACCGAAACGAAAAATTGCAAACTTAAAATTTGAAGAAACGAAAAATTGTAAAATCATGGAACTGAATAAAATAAAAAAAAAATTAAAAATCGTGAAGTTGCAAAATCAAAAAACTGAAACATATTTTTACACTGAAAAAAGAAAAATTATAAAATCAGAACATTGTAAAAGCGAAAAACTGAAATAATAAAGAAAATAAAAATCCGAAACAAAAAATTACACATTGAAAAATTGGAAAAAATTAAAAATTGGCAAATCCAAAAATTGAAAAAATACAAATCGAAGAATTGAAAAAACGAAAAATTGATAAAACTGAAATTGTAAGAAAAATGATAAAAATCGAAAAATTGTGAATCAACAATTAAAGCAACGAAAAATTAAAAAATTATGAAACTGAAAAATTTTAAATTGAAAAAACGGAAAATTAAATATCTAAAATTTGAGAAATCGAAAAATTAAAAATCAATAAATTGAAGACACGAAAAATTGAAAAAATTTAAAATGGAAAAATAAAAAATTATAGACCATTGAAAAATCGATAAATTGTAAAAATAAAGAAAATAAAAAACCGAAACGAAAAATTGCTTATATAAATTTGAAGAAACGAATAATTGAACGATCATAAAACTCGATAAAATCTAAAAATTAAAAAATCTGAAGTCGAAAAATGGCACATTGAAAAATTGAAAAACCGAAAAATTGAAAAATAAAAAAATTAAAAACGAAACGAAAAATTACAATTCGAAAAGTTGCAAAACTTAAAAGTTAAAACATCCGGAAGTTGCAAATTTGGAAAACTGGAGAATTTAAAATTAGAACCTAAATATTAAAAAAATAAAAATTGGAAACTCCAGAAATTAAATCGAAAAATTGCAAAATCTAAAAATGCAAGTAACAAGAAGAATGATAAACTGAAAAAACAAAAAAGTATAAAATCGAAACGTCGAAAAATTGAAAAATTGAAAAAATAAAGAAAAAACCGAAACGAAAAAACGCAAACCTAAAATAAGAAAAACCAAAAATTAAAAAATCTGATGTAGAATCAAAAAATAGAAAACCGAAAAATTACACATTGAAAAATTGCAAATCTAAAATTTGAAGAAACGAAAAATTGAAAAATCATGAAACTGAATAAAATAAAAATACGAAAAATTTAAAAATCTGAAGTTGCAAAATAAAAAATAGAAAAATTTTAACACTGAAAAAAGAAAAATTATAAAGTCAGAACATTGAAAAACCGAAAATAGAAAAAATAAAGGAAGTAAAAAACCAAAATGAAAAATTACAAATCGGAAAATTGTAAAATTTAAAAATTGAAACATCCAAAAGTTGGAAAATCGGAAAACTGGAGAATTTAAAATAAGAATCTAAAAATTAAAAAATCAAAAATTGGAAACTCGAAAAATTTTAAATCGAAAAATTACAAAATCTAAAAATTGAAGCAACAAGAAAAATGAAAAACTAAAAAATCGAAAAATTGTCAAAATAAAGAAAATAAAAAACCGAAACGAAAAATGGCAAATCTAAAATTTGAAGAAACGAAAAAGTGAAGAATTAGGAAATTGAATAAAATAAATAAACGAAAAATTAAAGAATTTCGGAGAATTCGGAGTTATCACAGCAGATCATCAAGAAGTTAGATTTGTTGAAGTTCTGTCTAATAACTTTGAACAAAATTTTAACAAATAAAATCCAAAATTGTCCTGCTAATTTTAGAAAAATGCAAATCGAAGAATTGAAAAATTAAAATATCTAAAATCTGAAAAATCGAAAAATAATAAATGGAAACATTAAAAATTGAGATTCCAAAATATCGAAGTTTGTGAATTTGCAAATCATGAAATTGAAATCATTGAAAATTTTAAAACTGAAAACTCAATAAATGCACTTTTAAAAATCGAAAACAGGAAAAATTGAAAAAGCGGACAATTAAAAATGGACAATCTGAAGATGTTTAACAATCGACCCATAAAATCAATATTTTATTGTTATTATATATTATTTATTTATTTTTTCAATTATAATTAAAAAACCGAAACGAAAAATTGCAAATCGAGAAACTGAAGAAACAAAACAAAAAGAAAAATCGAAGAACTGATAAATTAAAATTATCAGAAAACAAAAGTTGCAAACATTTTTTATAATTTTTCAAAGAAGTGGGATTTTTTGTACTAGTGGTGGCATCTGTCCTTCCTTCTGTAGTTTTCATTGGTATGGTCTCGTATGGTTAGAAATGTAGCTTTTCTTGGAGAAAAAAATCCACAAACAAGTAAGTAAATAAATTCTTCTATTTCCATTTTTGTGATTCTTTATAATTTTTTTAAATAATTAGACAATGGGCGAGTGAAACGCCATTGTGTTTATCCCCTGTGTGTCACATCGCTTTCGTGTTTCTTGCACCTTTTATTTTTATTGTTCGCAGAACCGGAAACCTTCCCCTTCACGAACCTCCCCGGCGACAGAACGTTCTGCGTGTCTCCGGATAAAATCGCCATTACTTTCTGTGTGCTAGGAATCGTCTTCCTGTGTGCCGTCGTGGTGGCGGCCTTGGCCCTTATCAGAGGCCGAAAGGGCGGAAACGAGGGCCCTTTTTACACAAGGAGTTTATTTTCTAGCAGCAGCGGCGGCTCGGCGTACGGGAGCAAATTGTTGCTGCATGAAAGCCCGTGTTTAGGGCAGCCGCCGACGAGGAGGATGCCCTACGGAAGAATACTGTAGGGCTTCTACTATTTATTTTTTGTATATATTATATGGGGGGTAATTGGTGGGTTGGGGCTTCAGTTTGTCTGACTTTTTCAAGTTCCGGTGTCTGTTTAGTGTTAGATAGGGTACCTAGGGTTTTTAATAGTAGGAACTTTGAAATGTCAGATAAATTTAGAAATTTTTGTATTGTGAGCTTTGTGATAAATATAATAAACGTTCGGAGTGTCAAGGTTTTATTTAAATCGTCTACTTAAGACACAAACATTAATAGAATAAAAATACAAACGAAATGACGCGTCTTATTAACACGACCCGATGGAGATAATTATTTTCTAAAATAATCGCAATCTGGTTTGGTGTATTCGTAACTGGTTTTATACAAATTCGAAAACTAGTTTAGGCATTTTCATTCAGGAAAACTTTCCAGGGAAAACACCATTGTTCGACATATCTCCCTCAAAATCAGACAAACATTATTTTTTTTTACGATTTGAAAACACGTTTTTGCGACGTAATGTTCTCGTGATAACATTTTATTTTGTGTTGTCAATTAAAATGCATCTCCTACATCTTCGTGTTGAATGGAGCGACAAACATTATATGCGCTAATCACCGGCCACTTTCCATTGTTTGTAATTATGTATCTTCAAATTTTTGTGAACAATAGTTCAGATGATGCCTTGAAAAAATTGATTTCGTTGAATGTTCTTGTTAATGGGATAAAGAGGAAACGCGGAGGCCACTTTACAAAAGCGTCGGAAACAGAAGGGCAAAACAATTAGATTTATTGCGGAGTCGTTGGAAAGTTTGCTGGCTGGTATCTAATTATCAGTTATTAATTATTGAAATTTATACAGCGTGCACCAAAAGCTTGGAACGGGCGAGATGGAGTTCGTAGATTGCGAGCGAGGTAAGTGAGATTGTACACATTGTTGTTAGCTCCATTTTGTTTCTTTTCACTAAATCAATATTACCATTTTGCCAAAATTTCAAAAACTTTTAGTTAGCAATTTACCAAAAAATCTGAAAGAATATTGTAAGTCCCTGGTGTTTTATTAAAAAAAAAAATAAAAATGAAAAAATAGAATCTTGGGGGTCGATTTTATTTTTTAAAATAAGATCGTTCACAATCCACTGGTTGGAAAAATTTCTGGGACTCCTACTAGTGTTCTCTTTTTTGAAATAATCTTGAGAGCTGATGGTGTTTTCTTCTCAAATTATTTGAAAGAACCTGTGGAGCCTTTGGTGGTTTTTTAATTTTTGAAAGAATTTAAAGGAACCTCATGGACTAATTTTGTAAGAATATAAAACTTGATTCATTGCCTGGAAATACCTTTGAGTGATTCTGATGTTCTATTTTTGAAAGACTTTGTAAAAATTTTAAAGCCCCAGTGTTTTGTTGTTGAAAAAGTCTTGAGGCTCTTGCTCATCGGTTCTTAAAAGAAATTTAAAGATTCTTGGGGGCTGCCGTGTTCAAATTTTGAGATTTCGGCTGTTTAAATTCAGAATAAACAGGGAAATTTGGTAGTTTTATTTAGATTTTTTCTATTTTCCTTTCCCCTTTTAGTTATTTTTCAATCAAGACTGTTCCAACAGTAAAAAAATTACATTATTACATTTTTTTAATCATTGATTTCTTTTTCTTAATCTATAGACTTTTCTTTCAACAACATAATGCTTAACATAATTCTAACCTCGAATTCACCATTTGATATTTTAAGTATTTTATTATTGAAATGAATAAGCCCCACCCACCCGCCCCATTTCAATTGTAATGAATTTTTTTATTCGTCGTGAGACTGAGGGGTGGAGCTTAACCGCAAAGTCCGTAGTTCTGTACAAGAAATGATGTTTGAAGCATTATCCTGTTATTTTGAGAAAAAATAGGGAGCCAAGAACTTTACAAAATTTTGTTAATAAAGAACGCCAATAAACAGATTAAGTAAGAAAAATGTGTCATAACAAAATTGTGTAAAGAAAAAACTCAACTCGAAAATACTGGATACCTTTCATTGTACTTCAGGAGCGAGGGAAGTTCTGTCGAAACAACATTCGATCAAGTTTTTAAAAGGTGAAACCTTCTCGGGGGCCCTCACTGTCTTTTTTTTAAGAAGGTGACACTTTCTTGGGGCCCCAACAGTCTTTCGTTTTTAAGAAGATGAAACCTTCTTTTCCTCTCTTATACTCTGACTAGTACTTTCTATATTATTTTTACATAAAATAAACTTCTTCAAAATCAATCAAATTTTATAATTTTTCAAAGAAGCAGGATTTGTTGGACCGTACTCGAGGGATGAGGGAAGTTTTGTCGAAATTATTTTCCGTTTTTTGAAGTTACAATAAATAAAAAATCCCTCACAATTGAGACAGGAGCGGGTGGGTGGGGCTTAATTAATCACTGACTTCTTTTTCTTAATCTACAAGAAATTACAGAGCGAAATATTTTTGAAGCATTATCGTGTTGATTTGAGAAAAAATAGGGAATGAAGAAGAGAAAAAAAATTACAAAAATAAAACTTTACAAAATTTTGCTAATAGAGCAGCGCCAACAAACAGATTAAGCAAGAAAATGTGTTATAACAAATATGTAAAGAAAAAACTCAATTCGAAAATACTGGATACCTTTCATTGTACTTCAGGAGCGAGAGAAGTTCTGTCGAAACAACATTCGATGAAGTTTTTATAAGGTGAAACTTTCTCGGGGCCTCAAATGTCTTTTTTTAATGTGAAACCTTCTCGGGGGCTCCAATTGTTTTTTTTTTAAGAAGGTGAAATCTTCTCGGAGGGCCCAACTGTGCTTTTTTTTTTAAGGTGAAAGCTTCTCGGGGGCCCCAACTGTCTTTTTTTAAAAAGATCAAACCTTCTTGGGGACCCAAACTGTCTTTTTTTAAGAAGGTCAAACCTTCTCGGGGGCCCCAACTGTCTTTTTTTTTAAGAAGGTGAAATCTCGGGAACCCCAACTATTTTTTTTAACAAGGTGAAACCTTCTCGGAGGGCATAACTGTGTTTTTTTTAAAGGTGAAACCTTCTCGGGGCCCCCGACTGTCTTTTTTTTAAGAAAGTGAAACCTTCTCGGGGATCCGAACTATTTTTTTTAACAAGGTGAAACCTTCTCGGGGGCCCTAACTGTCTTTTTCTTAAGAAGGTGAAACCTTCTCGGGGCCCCCGACTGTCTTTTTTTTAAGAAGGTGAAACCTTCTCTGGAACCCCAACTATTTTTGTTAACAAGGTGAAACCTTCTCGGGGGGCCCAACCGTCTTTTTTTTAAAGGCGAAAACTTCTCGGGGGTCCCAACTGTCTTTTTTTAAGTAGGTCAAAGCTTCTCGGGGACCCAAACTGTCTTTTTTTAAGAAGGTCAAACCTTCTCGAGGACCCCAACTACTTTTTTTAACAAGGTGAAACCTTCTCGGAGGGCCCAACTGTGCTTTTTTTTTAAGGTGAAACCTTCTCGGGGACCCCAACTATTTTTTTTTAACAAGGTTAAACCTTCTCGGGGGGCCCAACCGTCTTTTTTTTTAAGGCGAAAACTTCTCGGGGGCCCAACTGTCATTTTTTAAGAAGGTCAAACCTTCTCGGGGACCGAAACTGTTTTTTTTTTTAAGAAGTTGAAACCTTCTCGGGGATCCCAACTATTTTTTTTAACAAGGTGAAACCTTCTCGGGGGACCCAACCGTCTTTTTTTTAAAGGTGAAACCTTCTCGAGGGCCCTGACTAACATTTTTTTAAGAAGATGAAATCTTCTCGGGGGCCCCAACCGTCTTTTTTTTTAAAGGTGAAAACTTCTCGGGGGCCCCAAATGTCTTTTTTTAAGAAGATCAAACCTTCTCGGGGACCCAAACTGTCTTTTTTTAAGAAGGTCAAACCTTCTCGGGGGCCTCAACTGTCTATTTTTTAACAAGGCGAAACCTTCTCGGGGGGCCCAACCGCCTTTTTTTTAAAGGCGAAAACTTCTCGGGGGCCCCAACTGTGATTTTTTAAGAAGGTCAAACCTTCTCGGGGACCTAAACTGTTTTTTTTTAAGAAGTTGAAACCCTCTTGGCGATCCCAACTATTTTTTTTAACAAAGTGAAACCTTCTCGGGGGACCCAACCGTCTTTTTTTTAAAGGTGAAACCTTCTCGAGGGCCCTGACTAACATTTTTTTAAGAAGATGAAATCTTCTCGGGGGCCCCAACTGTTCTTTTTTTTTTAAAGGTGAAAGCTTCTCGGGGGCCCCAACTGTCATTTTTTAAGAAGATCGAACTTTCTCGGGGACCCAAACTGATTTTTTTAGGAAGTTGAAACCATCTCGGGGATCCCAACTATTTTTTTTAGCAAGGCGAAACCTTCTCGGGGGGCCCAACCGTCTTTTTTTCAAAGGCGAAAACTTCCCGGGGGCCCCAACTGTCATTTTTTAAGAAGGTCAAACCTTCTCGGGGACCCAAACTGTTTTTTTTTTTAAGAAGTTGAAACCTTCTCGGGGATCCCAACTATTTTTTTAACAAGGTGAAACCTTCTCGGGGGGCCCAACCGTCTTTTTTTTAAAGGCGAAAACTTCTCGGGGGCCCCAATTGTGATTTTTTAAGAAGGTGAAACCTTCTCGGGGACCCAAACTGTTTTTTTTTAAGAAGTTGAAACCTTCTTGGGGATCCCAACTATTTTTTTTAACAAAGTGAAACCTTCTCGGGGGACCCAACCGTTTTTTTTTTAAGGTGAAACCTTCTCGAGGTCCCTGACTAACATTTTTTTAAGAAGATGAAATCTTCTCGGGGGCCCCAACCGTCTTTTTTTTTAAAGGTGAAAGCTTCTCGGGGGCCCCAACTGTCTTTTTTTAAGAAGGTCAAACCTTCTCGGGGACTCAAACTGTCTTTTTTTAAGAAGGTCAAACTTTCTCGGGGAACCAAACTGTGTTTTTTAAGAAGTTGAAACCTTCTTGGGGATCCCAACTATTTTTTTTAACAAAGTGAAACCTTCTCGGGGGACCCAACCGTTTTTTTTTTAAAGGTGAAACCTTCTCGAGGTCCCTGACTAACATTTTTTTAAGAAGATGAAATCTTCTCGGGGGCCCCAACCGTCTTTTTTTTAAAGGTGAAAGCTTCTCGGGGGCCCCAACTGTCTTTTTTTAAGAAGGTCAAACCTTCTCGGGGACTCAAACTGTCTTTTTTTAAGAAGATCGAACTTTCTCGGGTCCCAAACTGATTTTTTTAGGAAGTTGAAACCATCTCGGGGATCCCAACTATTTTTTTTAGCAAGGCGAAACCTTCTCGGGGGGCCCAACCGTCTTTTTTTCAAAGGCGAAAACTTCCCGGGGG